GGTATATTCCTTGAAGGAAAGGGAAAAGATAATGTAAGCTAGAAAGAGAAAGGCGCTCCCTTTACAGGCAAAGGCGAAGAATAACAGAGCGGCTAAAAGAGACCAATATATCTGTAATACGAAGGGAGGTACTGGTCAGAGAAATAACAAACATCGAACTTAAACTAAAGGAATCTTACAGGAGTCAAGAAACGCGGGAAGAACTAAAAGCCGTAAATGAAATTGAAAGAAACCCAAAATATTTCTTTTCTTATGCCAAATCTAAATCTAGAACAACATCCAGTATTGGGTCCCTACTTAGATGAGATGGGTCTTACACAGATGACAGCAATGAAATGAGTGAGCTTCTCAAGTCCCAATATGACTTGGTTTTTAGCGAGCTGCTAACCAGACTGAGAGTCGAAGACCTAAATGAATTTATGAGCGAGATAGAGAATTTGATAGACTCAAACCTGTCTGATATTATCCTGATGCCAAATGACTTCGAAGAGGCGATAAACAACTTGCCCATGCACTCTGCCCCAGGCCCAGACTCATGGAACTCCGTGTTCATCAAGAACTGCAAGAACATCCTATGGAGAGGGAGCATGGACACAGGGGTCGTCCCACAGTTGCTAAAAACATAGCTCTACTCCACAAAGGGGGCAGTAAAACAATAGCAAAGAACTATAGACCGATAGCACTAACATCCCATCTAGATACCCATCAGTTACACAACCCAGGGCAACGTGGGTTTAGAGCAGGTCGCTCCTGCCTGTCGCAACTACTGGACCACTATGACAAGGTTCTGGATGCTCTAGAAGACAAACACACAGACTTTGCAGAAGCCTTCGACAAGTGTGACCATGGCGTAATAGCGCACAAAATGCGTGCTAAAGGAATAACAGGAAAAATTGGTAGATCGATCTATAATTTCCTCACTAACAGAACACAAAGTGTAGTAGTCAACAGAGTAAAGTCTGAGGCGGCTACGGTGAAAAGCTCTGTTCCACAAGGCACAGTACTCGCTCCCATCTTGTTCCTCATCCTCATATCCGACATAGACAAGGATGTCAGCCACAGCACCGTGTCTTCCTTTGCAGATGACACCCGAATCTGCATGACAGTGTCTTCCATTGCAGACACTGCAAGGCTCCAGGCGGACATCAACCAAATCTTTCAATGGGCTGCAGAAAATATGAAGTTCAACTTTCACCATCATTCACTCCATCACTGTCTTGCCAGAGGCGTGCTTACACTACAGTTATAAAACTGCAACATTAACACCCGTCCTTCAGAGTGCAGACACTTGATATATACTGTGAAAATTTCTAAATATCCTCAAACTGAATTTTCTACTAGGCATTGTTTGCTTTTCCTCTAAACTGAATTCACAGTGTCCTTGTCTTGTTGTCTGTACTTACACTTCACATTACTTTCACAGTGTTCTTGTCTGTACTTACACTTCACATTACTTTCACAGTGTTCTTGTCAGCACTTACACTTCACGTTACTTTCGTGAAATTTTCATTTTTTGATCAATTAGACTCTTAGGGCAATACTTGGGTATCTTTATTGTGGAAACGGGTGGTCAATTAGTCCAATATACAGAAGAATGGTTGAAAATCAGGAGGAGTCGATGTGATCAGTCCATCAAGATTGATGGACTGATCACATCGGCTCCAGGCTGAGGGACTGATTACCTCAAACTACTACTGATCTTCAACCATTCTTCTCTGTATTGAACTGAGGAAGGTGATGGTTGGCGAAACGTTTCCACACTAAGGATACCCAAGTGTTACACAAGCGTCTAATTCATCAACCTGTCGGTTCTCTGAACCAGTTAACTATCATTTGTTTTTCTTTCTGCCTTCCTAATTTCCTCTCGGGTTATCAACAGTTTAGCCGAACACCCTGACACCTTTGTGCCTTCTATCTCCCCCCCCCCCCGCCCTCCCTACTTCTTTTCTCATCCAGGTTGTCCTGTTTTTTTTACCCTGTTTCCTAATGGTCATCTGTCATTTATTCTGCTGTCCTGATCTAAAAATGGATTTTCTGTTCTACAAGTTTTAATAAAACGCGTTTTAAACGTAGTTTTTTACTGTCATAAAACAAAGCTTTTGTATTTTCTTGATTTCTTCTGTTTACAAAAGGGGACTGGAGTCTCACTACTTTGTGGGTTATCCACGTTCGTGGCTCGGTTGCTAGTGCACTCGCCTCACACATTAAGGTCCGAAGTTCGATCCCCGGTACGGGTGGAGACATTAGGACGCGTTTCCTTAAGACACCTGCTGTCCATGTTCACCTATCAGTAAAATAGGTACCTGGGTGTTAGCCGAATGGTGTGGGTTGCTTCCTGGGGACAAAATTTACCTGATTTGCCTGAACTGTTCTGTATAACAAGGGACTTTCTATACAGTAGTATGTAATTCATGTCAGCTATGGTCTGTATACGTTGTATATGTATTTGTAGACCTAAAGGTTATTATTATTATTATTATTATTATTATTATTATTATTACTTTCTCGATGTCTTTCCTGTTCTTGGTTCGTCTCTACGTGTTTCATTTATTAAGTTTTTTGCTACCTGCCGTAACACACAGAGTTCCTTTTTTCAACGTTCTTTTTTTCTCTTCCTTACATGTTACCCATTTGCTTAAATTTTTTCTAGTCATTTGATTTGCTTTTTTTTTTTTACCTCCCCTATTTACTTGTGTGAATTTCTTAACTTTTGTGTCTTGCTTCTCGTCGTCTTCACTACATCCTCCAGTATCTCGACGGCTTGAAGAAGAGGCATCCCTGGATTCCATTTTTCTTGCGTTGTTAGCCCTACAATACATGATTCTCATGGTCATCCCTTGCCCATTCTCTCTCTCTCTCTCTCTCTCTCTCTCTCTCTCTCTCTCTCCTCTCTCTCTCTCTCTCTCTCTCTCTCTCTTTCTCTCTTTTTCTCTCTTTCTCTCTTTTTCTCTCTCTTTTTTTTTCTCTCTCTCTCTCTTTCTCTCTCTCTCTCTCTCTCTCTCTCTCTCTCTCTCTCTCTCTCTCATACATCTTAGTGTTTGTACGCACCGAGTTGTACTCGTCGAGTTTTGCTTGCGGGGGTGGAGGCTCGGCTCCTGGTCCCGTCTCCTAGACCACTTTGATCGTCATCACTGATTTCTAGTCTGTTAGTTCTTCTCATATCTACTCTTGAAGATGTGGATTGAGCTCGCCTTTGTGTGTGTGTGTGTGTGTGTGTGTGTGTGTGTGTGTGTGTGTGTGTGTGTGTGTGTGTGTGTAATTATTTAGAAAGGAAAAATAACCCGTGTTGTGTTGCACACTATTCCTTCTCTGTTGTAGTGCCAACATTTTTTCAGAAATATTCTCTACACTCCTCATTTACGTTGTCTCTTCAGTAGCTTAAAGTTAGTGTTTTTCTCTGTATTGGTGTCACCAGGACATTTTCCCTCTTCACTTGAAATATTTTCATACAGTGATACATGCTATATTCCCTTAACTGTCATTATAGTAATGGTTCATAATACTGCTGAGTTAGATGAGCAAGACACATGTGTAATAGTTGCGTATCTTTGTTATTTGAAGTTCCTTCTGACCGACAGGTTTAAGTCTAATACAGAGGCGACGTAGCTATAGCCACAGCAGTGCTTCTGTTGTCTCCAGTGAGGCTCCTGTGTTTACCTGTTTCCTAATATCATGTTTATTTTTCTCTATATATTATCTTGTCCATAATTACTATCGTATTTGCTTCGATGAAGTTTGTATTGTAAAGATCTAAGCAAAGCTCAGACCGTTACAATACAATTGTTCTCAAAGATTTGTGAAGTTATACCATGAATTAAGGAAAGATCCTGGACTTCACTTTACGAAAGGAGACTAAATGCGATAGTAATTATGGAGAAGGTAGATTATAGTGAAAAAAATAACATACTGCTAGAAGACTGAGAAACTGACGTGCCCCTTAAGTCACCTTTGTAATCGACTTGAGAAGCCTGCTAAGCAGGCGAAACTCTCCGGCACTGAAGATACCCAACTGTTCGAGTCACAGAATGGGTTGGGGTTCGAAACCATGGCAGGTGAACCATAACTCTCCAGAAATCGTGTTATTACGATTGCTTGAATCATGATACTCAAATGGTGTCTTCCTCATCTATCATCACTTAGCTACTGTCTTCCAGCGAGGACATTACCAGCGTCCTCTGTCTTCGTAATTCATGTCTCACTATTCTGGAGCAGCGCTGCGCATCTCCCATGAGTTCTCTCACTTTTTTTCATGTATTCCCATTTTTTAGAATCTTGTATAGCATGCCCTTTAAAATTTTTATATGTTAAACATATTTTTATCTGGGACGGACACCCAAGGAGAGCCGCACATTCCAGTTTTGTTCGACATTATAAAGAAATCGACATTTTGCCAGCAATGTATATGGACGGGTTGTACCTCGAGGCTGATGCAGTTCTCTCCTTGGAAGTGAAGCCTCAAATTCCTATTTTAAATAAATATTAGTGCCTTTTATCCCCCAGGTGCCATATAACTTCTACGGGTTAAGCACTTCCCCCCGAAATTAATAAATATTTTTAAGTATTTTAAGCGAATTAGTTATACAGAATTTTCACTGCTCCTTTTAAAATTTTATGGGGATAACTTAATAATTTCTTCCTTCCTCACCATAACTCCTTCTTTCCCTACCATAACCCCGTGATGGAATATGACAGGGAAACATAGCTAGCTTTTGTCCCAGCTCTGAAGCTATCTTGTATAATGTGCAACACTGCTGGTGTTCCCACTATGTAACTATCATATAGAATAGTGTAGCAACACACTGCTGGTGTTCCCACTATGTAACTATCATATAGAATAGTGTAGCAACACACTGCTGGTGTTCCCACAATGTAGCTATCATATGAAATAGTGTAGCAGCACACTGCTGGTGCTCCCACAATGTAACTATCATATGAAATAGTGTAGCAGCACACTGCGCATTTATTCAGTTTCGTTAAACAGTTTCTCTTACGTGTATCAGGCAACGTATCTGGACACGATAAGACCGCGGCCAGAGCCCAACCAGGAGGCGCTGCCAGAGATCGGCCAGAGGATCAGACTGTCAGAGGGAGACATCGCTCAGACCAATCTTCTCTACAAGTGCCCAAGTAAGTGTGTTATCTGTGGCGGGTTGCGAGAGTTTTCTTAGCCCAGCAGCCTCCGGCCCTGGACCAGGCCGATGAAGTGCTGGTAGGTGGTAGTTGTAAGAACATAAGAAGGAACACTGCAGCAGGCCTGCTGGTCCATGCAAGGCAGGTCCAAGTCTCCCACCGGCTTAAGCCAATGACCCAACCTAGTCAGGTTACATTCACTTAAGGAAAGAGCACGGTATCAGACCTATTAGCACAAGCTAGTCAGGTCCAACTCACACCCGCCCACACCCACACAGGTATTTATCTAACCTATTTTTAAAGCTACACAAAGTTTTAGCTTCTATGACCGTACTCGGTAGTTTGTTCCACTCATCCACAACTATTACCAAACCAGTACTTTCCTATATCCTTCCTGAATCTGAATTTTTCCAAATTAAAACCATTGCTACGAGTCCTGTCTTAGCTAGATAATTTTAGCACGCTATTTACATCCCCTTTATTTTATTCCTGTTTTCCATTTATACGCCTCAATTATATCCTCTCTAATTCTACGCCTTTCTAGAGAGTGCAAATTTGGGGCCCTCAGTCTATCCTCACAGGGAAGATTTCTGATACATGGGATCAACTTTGTCATCCTCCTTTGTACGTTTTCCAGAGTATTTATATCCATTCTGTAATACGGTAACCAAAACTGTGCAGCATAATTTAAATGAAGCCTAACTGTGGCATGCAAAGAGTACGTAACCTTTATTCGGCGCATGTACACACCCTCATTGACAGGCTATCTCCCCCAACCAGCGAACCAGGTGCTAAGGGTTGATGATGGGGCCCCATCGTTCAATCAGTACCCAGGTTCCAGCCAATGAGAAGATGGTTTTGGCAACTGCAGAGGTGTTGTGGGTACCACTCTCCTGTCTGACCTTGTCATTCCCATTCTAGAGCTGGTTGAAACACGGTCTGCTCTCTAGTGGCTTCTATTCTGCCTTGCTTACCGTGGAGTGCACTAATACCTATTGTACATAATGTATATAGTGTACATACTTCTGTTCTAAATTGGTGAAGGATAATATAAATCAAAAGTTTTCTGCTGTGTTTATTTTGCTCCCTTTACACCCAGGATAACAGGCCATTGGGACTCCTGGGTTGTAATACTGACCAAAGATATATAGAGTTGAAGAACAACCTGAGGACTCTTATTATTTATGCTATTTGATATGAAGCCAAGGATTCTGTTCGCTTTACTACAAACACTTATGCACTGTTGTCTTGGTTTCAGATTACTGCTAACCAGAACTCCCAAATCCTTTTTGCAATCAGTAATATTAAGATCTGTATTGTTTAGTTTATATGTGGCATGATTATTTTTCTGTCAAGTGTTTAGAGCTTTGCATTGTCTATATTAAACTTCATCTGCCACTTCTCCAACCACTGCAACAGTCTGTTCAAATCATCTTAGAGTGCTCTAATGCCCTTGTCAGAATGAATTAGACGGCCTATTTTGGTGTCATCGGCAAACTTGCTTATGTCGCTATTTATTCCCTCATGTACATCGTTTATGTAAATTGTGAACAACAAGAGGCCCAACACTGACCCCTGTGGAACACCACTTGTGATGCTTCGCCTCTCTGATTTCTCCCCATTTATGCAAACTCTCTGCTGCTTGTTTGTCAACTATGTCTCTATCGATGAAAAAATTTCTCCTATTCCATGTGCCTTAAGTTTCCTCAATAGTCTCTGATGTGAGACTATCAAAAGCCTTACTGTAGTCCATATACACAATATCATATTCATTACCATGATCTACCTCCTCAATAACTTTAGTGAAAAAAAGTTAATAACTTCGTAAGACAGGAACGCCCCTTTGTAAAACCATGTTGAGGTTCATTAATCAATTTATGCCTTTTAAGGTGGCTACGAATTGCCTCGGCAATTATAGATTCCATAAATTTTCCCACTATGGAGGTTAGGCTTATTGGTCTATAGTTCGAAGCTAAGGACCTGTCACCTGTTTTGAAAATAGGTATCACATTTGCCATTTTCCACTTATCTGGCACCATGCCAGTTTGTAGTGATATGTTGAAAATATTAGCTAAAGGTTTGCTAAGCTCCTCTTTACATTCCTTTAGAACCCTTGCATACAGTTCATCAGGGCCTGGGGATTTGTTAAGTTTTAATTTATCCATTTGTGTAAGGACCATGTCACTTGTGACCCTAATCGTGCATAATTTATTATCGTTCTGTTTTACGTAATTTATTCTGGAATATTGCTAGTTTCTTCCTGTGTAAAAACTGAGAGGAAGTAAATGTTAAAAATTCTACACATAACCTTATCACTGTCTGTGAGCTGACCTGAGTAACTTTTGAGTGGGACTATCTTGTCCCTAATCCTGAAAGAATCCTTTTGGGTAAATCTTCGATTTCTTGCGACTTTAACTTCATAATCTCTCTGCTCTTCATATTCCCTTTATTTCTCTCTCCAACTGATTGTATTGATTTCTTAGCTGCCCCTCTCCTCTTTTGATTCGCCTGTATATGCCTCTTTTGACCAGTGAAATGTTTTAATCTTTTGTTTATCCATTTAGGATCATTTTATTTTATCTACTTTCCCTATTCGGAATATAAGTTGTCTGAGCAGCTAGAACTATGCTCGGAAAACGTCATATCGGCAACCTTCACCACCTACCTGACCCAGCTGTGAGCATGTTAGTGGTGCTGGTAGTAGCACTTAAGGCTTTTGCTGGTAGCAGGTGGTGGTTTAAGTTGAGGGGGTGTTTGTGGATGTACGATGGTAGTAGTTGTGGTGGATACTGTGGCGGTTGTAGTACTGGTGGTAGTTTTGGTGGCAGTAGTGGTGACGCTAGTTGTAGTGGCTGTTTTTGTCACTTGTGCACAGTATGGGGTAGTGGTAGTTGAAGTGGTGATAGTAATTGTAGTGGTGGTAGTTGTTTGTAATAGCTGGTGATAGCTGTTTTAGTAATGGTTGTAGTTGTTGAAGTAGTGACGTTAATAGTTACAGGAGTAGTAATTGTAGTTATAGCAGTTGTGGTTATAGTAGTGTGTGATTGAGTTATGGAGTAGCTTTAGTTTATAGGAGTGTGTGTTGTAATACTGCAGTAATGTTTGTACTGTTGTAGTGATAAAATAGTTTTATATATTATTAACTAAACAGTGGTGTTTTGTTTTATATAATATATTTCTAGTGAAATAACTGACAATACTGTACAGAAAAAGAACAATCACAAATACTTTATATATATTTCTTACTATATATATATATACTATATGCTATAAATACTATACATAATTATTATTATATAATCAATAACATGCACTAGCCAAGGAGTCGAACGCATGACGCTTTAGACCACTAGACCACACAATCCTTAACAATGGTGCATCCAGCCAGGCTAGGTGTTGTACCCACCATCGAAGGACTTACGGTGGTGTGGACGCCTCTGAGCTAATTTCATTCTACTCCCTGTTTGTGTACTAGGTCAACAAGCAGTATATTATATTATTGTACCCACGAAACTAGTGGTATTGATCAATAGCCACTCTTTATAGAGTACAATAATATACTTCTTGAGCTAGTACACGTCTTGGTACATCTGTTCCCATGCCCCCTCAAGGCCATGTTGTATATAAATCCGTGGAAGTAAACATCTGTCAGTGAATAAACGGGAGAATTAATACCAGTAATACTATTCCCTCCTCTCGTTATATTACTCCCGTTCCCCGCCGCCACCCTCTTGTATATATTCTGGCTCCCTTTCCCTTTTCGTTTCTTTGAACTAGTTAATGTTGCAAGTCGGACTGAGACATTCATTCATTAGGGATTTGCCGGTACTTCCGGCCAGGGTCTTCTTCATATGGCGACCCGGCGACTGAAACGTTCGTAAGTTTGTCTCCTCTGTGCAGGTTCTCTGTACAGAAGGATGGTTGGGACTTGAAACGCGGTCCATTCGTGTGGCAGGACCAACATTGAGTGTTGCAGCGTGTCAACACAACATTCGTGTGGCAGGACCAACATCGAGTGTTGCAGCGTGTCAGCACAACATTCGTGTGGCAGGACCAACATCGAGTGTTGCAGCGTGTCAACACAACATTCGTGTGGCAGGACCAACATCGAGTGTTGCAGCGTGTCACAACACAACATTCTGTTGGCAGGACCAACAGTGAGTTTGCAGAATGTCAGCACAACATTCGTGTGCACGGACCAACATTGAGTGTTGCAGCTGTTCAACACAACATTCGTGTGCAGGACCAACATCGAGTGTTGCAAGCGGTCAGCACAACATTCGTGTGGCAGACCACATCGAGTGTTGCAGCGTGTCAACACACATTCTGTGTGCAGGACCAACATTTAGTGTTTCAGCGTGTCAACACAAATTTCGTGTGCAGGATCCAACATTGAGTGTTGCAGCGTGTCAACACAACATTCTGTGGCAGGCCAACATGATGTTGTTGCAGCGTGTCCACAACATTCGTGTGTGCAGGACCAACATTGAGTGTTGCACGTGTCAGCACAACTTCGTGTGCAGGATCCAACTTGATTTTGCAGCGTGTCACACAACATCGTGACACTATTAGTTATATTACCAAAACCGAAACGTGTGTAGAAATTTTTAGAGTAAACTGGGTCATAGCCTCTGTCAAGTGCCGGGTCAACCAGGCTGTGATGGATGTGGTCCTGTATCAGCCTGGTTCAACGGGAACCCAGCAAGGTCGGTCTGAGAGTGCAAAACCCTCAAAATCGGTCACAGGTATAACCTTCCATATCTCTCACTCCAATTATGTATTGCAGTGTTGACGACCAGACCCTCCAGTATCTCAGACGTATATACAGTATTATCAAGTGTATCTGACATATACAGTATTATCAAGTATTTTACGTATACACAGTAATGTCAAGTAACTTACGTATGTACAGTATTATCAAGTATCTCTTCTCCATTCCAGAGAGTGCATCTCTGGTACTTAGAGGGGTTCCCGATAATCTGTTTTACTGACTATTT